GCTGGGCATGAGTCATCAAAAAAAATTTTATGACCAATTAAAAATGCCGCAAAAATACCGCAAGACTTTTTTGATAACATAATATATCATATATGCCATCAAACAAACAGTCGTCCCACTCGCGACTTGGCACTCACGTCACTATTGAGAATCACAACTTCAAAGTTTTAGATAATTTCGTCTATCTTGGAACGAGCAACAATAATGTCAGCCTCGAAATCCAACCCGGAAGTGGTAGAAAGCCATCAAAGACGGCCGAGAGATCTTCGTAATTTTTTCTTGCTCTCTAAACTGAAATTGCTACTCCGTAGAACCCGTTTTCAATCGATCGAAATTATAAATCAAAATTCACTGCAACAGCCGAAGGCCATCCCAAAAATAATTTTGAAAAGAGTTTCGGGAACCGGAAAACTTTTCAGAATAAGTGTTTTACAACTAATGGTGATTACTTTGAGAGCGATAAAATAAATATTGACGAATAATTAAAAATTTTGCGCTTTATTTACAATTTCCGGATACTTTTTTGTCACAATATATAGTTACTGTAAGAAATACAGAGGTGTAACCGTTATAGCTTCGATGCAACCAAAGTTGGTGTTTTTGCTTGTTTAATATTCACTTGGTGCTTTTATGATTTGTATATATATTTTATATATGCAGTTTTATCTTACTAAATTTAGAAAAAAATTCAAAACAAATATTCATACAATAGACGATAGCACAGCTAATTCTCAATGTGCCCACTTGTTCAAACAATCAATACTGAAATCACTTCAAATTCTATCGAGTTACCGAAAATCATTTCTCTTCATCAGTAAACAAAATGACTGGCGGAAGCTGATGGCCGAACAATGACCAGAAGTGTAAGGCGCAACACGGTCCACTACACACAGATACGAGTTCATTGTAAAATTCGAGTCAGCAACGCATTTGCGGTTTACAACAAAAGGTAAAAACAATGCAGTGATGAGAAGAATATCAGTTTTGGCAAGCCTCGAGACTTGACTTAGGCGCCCATATTTGGAAATCAGCCACTCATCTAGTGGCGCACCATCTCTCACAACACTGGGAGGGGGTGATAGCTTGCCAGCAGCTTTTTTATGCCATTTCATGTATGCACGTTCAATGGTAAATGGATTAAAAATTGAAATCACGTTTTCCCCTATCATGCCGAGCGTGCATAAAATCATTTGCCATACTCTGCCTTGGACTGTGGCACTATGTGCTTGCCGTAACTGGCAGGTACTGTCGCTGTTTGTTGGTGATGGAAAAATATCGTGCTTCCCTTTTTCTTCAATCAATTACTTCTCAGCTTTTGGAAGCAGTCCTGCAAGTCAAGTAATCTTTTGTGGTTTTTGGTTTTTTGTGCAACCTTCATTCACTTGCCTAATGGTTCGGTCAAAAGTGTAATGGTGCATGAAAATGTAGGCATGTACATATGTATGTTCCGTTAGAAGTGTGAATACACTAAAATATGAAAGTACATGCATAACATACATACATACATAAATAATATATCGTTAGAATGTATATATAATATAAAATTTAGCTGGAAAAGGTGCTGCCAACAATTTGCCGTTTATATGCCGGTCATTAAGGCAATTTCCACCTGTCATTTCTATTTTATTCTGCTGCCATTCTCAGGGGTCAATACATACGTACATACACAAACTTACATATAGTACATACATATACATATACACGCGACTTTCGGACTGCTTTAATTCTGAATTCTGTCGGACTTTCTAAATGAATTAGTTTATTATACAGTTGTTGGCAATTTACCAGCATACATATGTATATAACTGTATTTTTGTGCATTAGCTGTTTGCATTCATTCACTTCAATGGTTTTGCTGTGGTTTGGGATGACCTTTCAGATTCCGGAAATAGATGTACAAATAAAGCTCGAACTTAATGCCTTGTTTATACTTGCAAATCTCAATGGATTGGAAAAGGAGAACGCAGGGGATGTACGAATCAAGTGCCATCCTACGCAACAGATTGAGAATTTAATAAATGAAATGTCTTGGATATATTTGTTGTGCACTTTAAAATGTTAATTAAATCGCTTTCGATACATTATGGCTTTGAAAATAACGCGATAAATTTTTAAATCTATATCTGAAATAGTTTTTGAATTACAAGATTCTAAGGTATAGCCGCTCAAATCAATCAGTTCCATCAGTTTATCCTTAAACGCGTTCTTTCCGAAAGAGCAATTTTCGATTTTTTTTTTTTTTTAATCGTGTTTTTTAGACAGTCTAGACGTTCCTCTTAATAGAACTGCCGCTCTTTTGAATCTATAATTAAGGTACGTTGCAGTGTATTACTATAAATAAAGCTTCAAAAGCATATATTTGCACTGATTTCTTAAAGCCATCATGGTTATCATCAATTTTTTCATTCTCAACCTCATATTCATCATCATAGCCAAGATTCCTCTACGAACATCTCGTCTTCTTATAAATAAACCTGAAACCTAGCAAACTACGAACTGCAATTAACTTTAATGAAACATCCGTCTTCTAAGAGTTTAATACCAACCAGTTAATCACAAACCCGAAAAAAATGCTGAAAACTCCAGTGTGACCATAATTACATGAATTTCTTTCAAATATTTAATTTGTCTCACTATATTTATTTTATATAATATTCCACTGAAAAATAATGGTGCTGCCTGTATATGTATGCACATATATGTACAATTATTTAGCACTGGAAAATGATTTTGAATTTGATGCTATACTCATATTAATTATAATCGCAGTGTTTGACAATAAAATACTTGTTTAATTTTAATGATAATTTCTTTTACTCCTTACAGATTTAAATAAATATGTATGTATAAAGATATAGAAGCGCCCAAGCTACGTAGTATCGAAAGAACACTTTTACGAATGCGAAACTGGATATTGTGAATAACTCACTAACAGCCCGCTATCACAACAAACAAGTATCCAAACTGAATTGAACCCTGATTTACGAAGTATTGTATATCCGGTCAAGGACAGACCCCGTTTTATGTATCTATATTCTCATACCGAGATAACAAATTAATTTATACCGCAAGCAACTATTTGTCCCCATAATCTTAAATAATATTTTGCAAGAATGCAACAGTTTTCTGCCAGTAAAAAACGTATTTACCTTTTAGTATATTAAACCTTTGGACTGTATGTTAATTCACCATTTTAGTTACTTCAACAAATAACTTCATCAACATTTGCATAGACTGAGAAAAACTATTCACTTTTCACATTTTAAATAAGCACATTAAAAGCAAAACACTTCTACACAAATATGTTTCTACACAAATTTTCGAAAAACTGCTTTTTATTGCTACTTATTTTGATTTATTAATATTTTTTGAATCACTTCACTTTCATTTTAATAATTTTTCGTTGTTTTCAATTCACCTTCCAAAGTTACATTACAGCAGCACCGTTACATATTTGACGTGTTGTGCACATTAAGGCAGGGCGTTCATGCTTGTTGATGCTTAAACTTGCAAATTTTTAAGTAAACATTTAAACGACAAAATTTGTGAATTTTGTGTTTACTCAACTTATTTTTAATAGGAATATTATAAATAGAATTTCTGAAAAAAAATTGTAAATCAAAAATTGAATAAGTAATAGACGACCATACTTGAAACTTATGTACTTTTTTATTGAAAATGTTAAAATATTTAAACATACGGTCCATATAAGCACTTATTATATAAAAATACACATAGTTTTATTTTTATAACATATCTATGCACTTAAATCTGCCTTTGTTAATAATTATACAGCATGCATAAATACATAAACGTCTTACACACATATGTACATATACGTACGTATTATTTTATTTTGTGACTGTTATAACGTCAACGTAACGTATGTATGTAGCACACGCTGCATATTTACGCCTAGTTTAGTTGTTTGCACACATGTAAAGTATCTTTACTGAAAGTATGTAAATAGCAAAAAAAAAATTATAATAATTCATACACACTTGCTAGTTATTTTGAAACTTTCAGTTAGTTCCAAATAAATTATTTAAGGAGCGTAAAATTAATTTTTTACTTTTCTTTTACTTATTTTACTTTACTTTTACGGAAAAGTAGTTTTTTTTCAACTTCATGATATTCTAGAACTGTGCATCTTTACAACGCGCTACTTAGAAGTAGAATCTTTTTTACAAAATTTATATTCACGTTAACCGTTAATGCTAGGATTTGTATTGCAGTAAAATGAATGTTGCCTAAAGTGTATTTTTTTTTTGTTTTAATTTGAAAACGTAAAATATTTATTTAAAATATTAAACATAACTGCAATTAAGAGTAAATTTTAAATATTCCAAATATAGTTATAACAAAACTTTATTTGCTTAAAATATAATGGTGTGCTTGCTTAAAATTTTAATCCCACATTTTGTCATTTGTATTGCCAAATTACAAAAGTACAGACGAGTACAAATGAAGTGAAATTGTCAAATGGCTTGAATGAATAGTCAACAATTTGTCATTGGCTAACACGTTAAACTGAGAATTGCTGTTAAGCTACTACTTCTTGAGCACAATATCCGAAAATGGAATTGAAATTAACTCACGGCAACGTTAATGCAACCAAAGTGATTACAGCTCATTACACTACACTTATCTAATAGAAATAGACAAGACCGCATGTTTTTAATCGGAAAAGCTATCACTCCAGTATGTGGTGGTGAGTGGCGCAACCGATTTGAATAAGTCCTTTCCCACGCTGTAACTTTCAACATCGTGTCGCATTTTCATCGGTCGTTCTTGACCCGGACAACGAATCTCTTTGTGTTTTTCCAAACGCACTTCGGATACAAATTTTCGCTTACACTTCTCACATTGATATAGGACACCCTGTTCGTCGTGCTCATCAACTAAGTGACGACGTAAGTCGGCCTTACTAGTAGCGGTATATTCGCATTTGTGGCATTCAAATGTTGACGGTTCTTCGTTATGTTTTTGCACGTGTTTACGGTAAGCACCCTGAATTTTGAACATTTGTCCACATACTTCGCATTTAAGTGGCTCGCGATGCAGATGCGCCTTCTTGTGTAGAATTAACGATAGTTTACGCGTAAATACTTGTTCACATTCATCGCATGGGTATTCTGTGGGCTTTTCTTCTAGCTCATCGGACGGCGGTGTACCCTTGATCTTACGTTTTTTCATTTGCGGCTTAGCGTACTCGTCTTCACTACTTTCGTCCTTAATTATAGTCGGTGATTGTGGTGGTGGGCGCTTTGTTGGTGGCCTACCCATACGTTTTTTCTCCTTGACTTTAGGACCTGGTGTTGCCGCCGCTGATTTGCGTCGACCTCGCCTACCGCCTGCACCGCGTGGAGAACGTTTCTTTTTGGTTGTGGTACCAAAATCAGAATCGTCCGAGTCATCCTCAGCAGTTATACCACCATCATCGGATACTTTAAATTCTACGTCGTCATTAGGTTCTTCATCTGAGGGATCAGAGTCCAGCGTTGCATCTATGACCACATAACCAGCCGGTCTTCGTACTTTGTTCTTGCTGCGTGAAAGTTTCTTTCTCAATTCACGCTCAGTATCTTCACACTGCGTTTTTAACTGTAAAGCTATGTTTACATTATCAAAGCAAGTATTGCATATAAATTGTGGCATAAAATCTTTTGGAGCAATGGACACCGACGGACATATATTCATTAATTTATCTGCAATTGTTTGTTTATTGATGGTTTTGAACAGGCTGATAAGATCGTCCTTGCTGGTACAGACGCGGCATTGATTTTCATCGACATGGTTCTCCATTTTAGCTGCTTCGCGTGCCGTACTCGTGGGTTGCTCGCCATCGTCCACATAATCTTCTTCTTCTTTTACAGCCAGATTTGGATTTTGCTTAACTACAACATCTTTGCGCTTTTTCGGCAACTGGGTTGGTTTGTGCAAAACCGGCTTTTGATCTACCTCCTTCCCCTCATTCTCGCCTTCTTCCTCCTCTTCTTCATCAGCTTCATCTTCGTCTTCTAGAATGTGTTCAATAACTTCACCATCGTCCTCATCTTCAAGCGCTTCTAAATTATCTTCTTCTTCTACCTCTGCTGGCCTGCGTGGTTTACGGCCGCGCTTATTTGGGCTTATTGACTTGTTGTCAGCTACCATTGGGTCGTGCTGTAAATAGGAGGAGTATTAATATTTTGCATTAATGTTTTGTGTATACCATTCACGCGCAACAGTATAAGAGTGGTAAAGGAATAGCAATATAAGGCAAAATGCGTTTGCCAATAATAATGTATAAAGACAAACATTTGCTTTACAATTGTTGTTTGGTATATGAACAAGGTGCGTTCCAAAGTAAACAGGACTTAAAAAAAATAATGGTTTTTCGGCAATTTTTGGTGGTCAGTCAATTTGTGCGAAACWAACCGTGCACACACCTTTCGTAAGCCCAAATGTTGGGTCAAAATGCGATAAATCGATGTTTTGGACATGTGCAATTCCTTTTCCATGAGTTTCAATGATGATTTCGGATGATTTTGCATGAATTCACGCACAGCTTCGATGGAATTTTTGGTTATCACCGATTTTGATTGGCCGACACGTTGATCATCATTTATGCCTTCACGACCACTTTGAAAACGTTGAAACCACTCGTGCACTCTGCTACGGGATAGGCAATCATCGCCATAAACTTCTTTTAACAATTGAAACGTTTCGGTAAAAGTTTTACCAATTTGAAAACAAAATTTAATGTCGGCTCTTTGTTCGAAGCTCATTTTCGCACCGATAACACAAACATACTGACACTTATAAAGCAATAACTTCATCAGCTGAGCACATAGAGCGCGATATCTGTCAAATATTAAAATACAAACGTTCTTACAGACTTAGTTATTGAGAAAGCTGCACAACTACATAACTGTGACCATAAGAACGTGTATTTTGATATTTGACAGATGTCGCTTGCAGTCTGTCGGGGTCTGTGTGTTCAGAGCGTCACTTCCAATCAATGAAATGTTATGAAATTCTCACTGGACACCACCAGGGGGTGTTAGATTCAAAAAGTACTGTTTACTTTGGAACGCCCCTTGTACATTTTTATTCATATTAGGGGGGATTCCTTGCTCTTGCAAACGCACGAATTGCAGAATTTTCCTCACAATAAATCACAATAGTCATTCTCAATAAATTTACCGAATCAGACGTTCATATATCACTAGATTCTGCAATGGGTGATCTCTTGGCCTTGCATATTTCGGTATAGGATTTCTGCATTTTGTGTCATCGTGCAATCTTTGAAGAGCAAGAGAATCCCCGTATTTATCGTTTTATTTGTTATTATACTAAATAGAAATACTTCGCAACCTTTACCTCTTCCAAGTACTCGGCAACTCCTTCGTCCGTCTCGTTTGCACCATTCGTTAACAACACCTCATCGCTGCCGGTATCCATAACACCACCTTCTTCAATCAGTTCACTCATTTTCACCACTTTCTTTTTATTCGCTCTTTGCTTTCAGCCAAACAATTTCACTATTTAAGCCACACTTCTTTATGAATGTTTTTCGTTGTTTGTTTTTATTAGATATTTCTAAATTGTGTTGTTGTATGAAGTGGTTGTTGCTTTAATGTCAAAATTTTGCCGCCACATAAAAATTTATAAGCATTCTACGTTGCCAGGCGTACGCTTGCATGCAATCAGTCAAGTTTAATTAGCTAATCATGCAATTTGCCAATGTAGTGAATATATTAATGGTTTGCTTATAGTCACTATTCAATTGTGATAGCACAGTTCACAAAAAAAAGGAATAGATAAGATTTTTTTCAAAAATTTCTTTGGAGTATTACCAATTTTTTTCTACAGTGCGCTATTCTGCCGCCACTGCACCGCTTAAGCAACAACAACGATCCAATGAAAAAAATTCTATCCACCACAGCGTTCACAATAATGTGGAATTCTTAAAAAATTTAATATATTTGTATACTTTCACTTTAGAACTTTACGCACAAAGTATTTTGATGTATTTCTATATTGAATAACAACCCAAAATATTGCAAAATATTTCCTGCACTTTCTCGTGTCTACACTGAATGCGGTACGGCCATCTTGGAAAAATGTACAAGCAAAAATCGAAATAGATTTTTGCATTGCCCCCATTGTGAATGATCAATAATTGCTCGTAACGCACGTATGTGAAGTGAGTGCGAGTGAACGCGAACATTTTGTCTGCGCCCAAATGTCAGTTCCCGAGCACTTGTTAATGTGCGAAAGAGATGACGAGAGTTGTTTGTAAATTTTACTTTAGCTGCTGCTTCGTAAAATGCATCGACAGGCAGGGTTGTCGTGTTTCCATGAATATATAAATGTGAATATGCAAGTTTAGTGGCTTGCTTATATGTACACAGATTTTTATAAGCTTATATTCATATAAATAGATTTTTATGAAAAACAATGGTAGGATATAGTTATGTCATATAATTAAACAGAGAGATGAAATAGATAAATTATAAAATATAAATAAAAAAATATACGCTTTTAAAAACACTTAATGCAAAGGAAAAAATGTAAATACCTGAATATTATCTTATATAACAAAAAAAAAAACTTTTATTTAGCGATTTTTTTAATTATAGTTATTGGGTATCATATTTGTATGTAGTTATACATTTTATTTAGCATATCAGACATTTACTTTGGATACTATCAATTACTATATACTCGAAAATCACTATTTAAGAAGGTTTGGGCAGTTATGTTTAAAAAGGAAAACCGGCGTAAGGTAGTGGCCAGAGTCCTCAGAGTTGCAATAATAATAAGAGCGCAATTGACAGAATAAAGAAAGACACCAAACTCGCATGTTAACGAAGAAGGATGAATTGTAGTCGAGGCAGATGGACGGTCTGACTTATCCGGACGCAGATATTTCAGAAAATACCTTCATAGAATGGCATATTATGACGACGTGACAGAAGACGACGCAAAACACACAACGGCAATGCACCACCGTAGAAGACCTGGTTTGCCCAATTAAAGTGCACAATTTAATTGAATAATAAGAAAAATGTAACGCCAGTTTGAAGTAATGCAAACGTGGTTCCTGGATGAGCGATGGTTCCTTAGAGAGAAAACCGCCACTGGCCTGCAAGTGACACAGACCTGCAGTGACGACAGCTCAGATGATCCGGAAGGAATTTTCAGGAGGTATCTCTCACCCGCAGAAACAAAAAAAAAAAAAGTCTTGAAGAGTTGATGTCACGATTGCCTCAATTCCGGTCTGGCTATGTGTGCAGTTGCTCCATCTTGCTGAAACCAAACCCTATTGAAAGGGATACGTCTCGGCGCAGTGTCTCGTTCTGGGTGAAGTTTCGTCTCGTACATTATTTATGGATTTCATTCACACAATTTTCCTTGTTTACACTTCCGTTGAGATAAAAAGAGGCATCATCAAGTATAACAGGCATCAAGTTATTATTTTCTTCGCCCATTTCAGTTATTTCTTAGAAAAACTTCAGACGAATAGGCAAATTTAGAGGGTTTAACCGGCATGTTATTTCAACTTTGTGCGGAAACAAGTTCAAATCATTATGAATTATCCGTTGTAAGGACCGTCTGCTGTTTTGACGAAGACGCCATTATAATCGATTATTTGTACCTGAAATTAAACCTCGTGATCTTGGTGTCTTTTGGGTTCAACAAGATGAGGCCACTTCCAACACATCGCATCAATCAGTGGATTATTTGAGAGAACACTTCGGTGAGCAGATCACTTCACGTTTTCGGTCGGTTTCAACGGATGGACCATCCGCGTGTATGAATATATATTTACAAAGGTTCTTGATTTAAGTATATACTGAAAATTTCAAAGGATCAGATGGCATTTAAAATTTTGTTATAGGGGAAGTAGGCGTGTTTTGTTTTCTTTTTTTATTCATTTTCGAGTTGTAATGTTAGAACGTTAGTATAATACAATATTCCTTACCGGTAAAGTATCTGGAGCATTTGTTTATAGTATCATTGGACTCTTAGTGGTTTTTAACAAAACTGTCATACGGAGCCGGGGTATGTCGAAACCAAGATAGCTGCCATACAAACCGAACCATCGAAAGAAAGCGCTTGTAAGGAAAGCTTTTTCTGTTTGGAAATGATGCAATTTCCGAAGAAATTGTTCAGTTACCGATGAAAGCTCTTTTAAGGTTCGTTTTTGTTCGTATTATTGAAGAGCTTCAATGCAAGCGAAATTGACGTTTTATACCCTCAACAGGGTATATTAAGTTTGTCACGAAGTTTGTAACACCCAGAAGAAAGCGTTAGAGACCCTCTAAAGTATATATATAAACGATCAGCTGATGTTGAGCTGAGTCGATTTAGCCACATCCGTCTGTCTGTCTGTCTGTCTGTATATATATGAACTAGTCCCTAAGCTTTTAAGATATCGTTTTGAAATTTTGCAAACGTCATTTTATCTTCAAGAAACTCCTCACTTGTCCGAACTATCGCTATTGGACTACTATAAGATATAGCTGTCATACAAACTGACCGATCGGAATCAAGTTCTTGTATGGAAAGCTTTCGCATTTGACAAGATATATTCACGAAATTTGGTATAGATTATTTTCTAAGGCAACAATGTAATCTCCGATGAAATTGTTCAGATCGGCTTACTATAGCATATAGCTGCCATACAAACCGAACAAATGGATCCAAGGGCTTGCATGGAAAACTTTCGCATTTGACGTGGTATTTTCACGAAATTTGACATGGATTACTGCTTGAGGTAATAATATAATCTCCGAAAAAATTGTTCAGATCGGATTATTATAGCATATAGCTTTCATATAAACCGAACACATAGTTACTAACAGAACTGCACCTGTGAAGGGTATTTAGCTTCGGTGCAGCCGAAGTTAACGTTTTTTCAGGTTTCATTTCGAATAGTGAGCAAAAAATATTATAATAAAATTTGGAAAAACTGCAAGAACTTTTTTCTTGCATGACTCTTGAGTCATTAAATATTTTAGTACAAAAACTTCAACAAACACATATTAGGACATTTTATGCCAAACAGTACCATCCTGTTGATGAAAAAAAAATTAGCCGTAACTTTAACGCAATAGTTATTAACTGAAACGGTGCAGAGCAGTGGAGAATTATTGGCAAAGCTACACTACCGTAGGGCACGGCGTATACGCAACATTTGGCTTACTCAACAGTATGGTAATTCCGAGCTTTGCAGCCAATCATGCTAATGACAGGCCACAGTAAGTACACTCACAAAAATATATATATACATATGTATATCTATGTATATATAGGTAAGTATTAATTAATTTAATTGTTTCAACAAAAATAATCTTTAATTCTTATAATGCTTACTTCGACGTGTGAAGCGTGGGTAGGTGGTGATGAGTAATTTTAACGAAAAGTATTAACACACAGGTAGGTGCGTATACATGTATGTATGTATGGATGTGTATACTCCCATCTGGCATGAATGAAATATTTATCGCCTTTATGTGCACTGGTGTGTATGTGTTCGTGTAGCTTATTCTACTGTTATTAAGCCACAAATGTGCACCGCAGACATTTACACCGGCGAGAAGGAGCAGAAAAGCTGCCGTGTGTTTGCATAACGGGACTTATGAGTGAATGCTGAAGAATACACATGTTTATGTACATATATGAGCATGTAAGTATGTGGTGTGCTTAACGTCTACGGTTTAGCTGGTTGGCCTCATTCGGTTTGTTTATATGTATATGCTGCACTGAGTTTTCGCATAACAAAACAATTGTGTGTATGGGGGAAAAAAAATAAAAAAGAAAAATGGAAGCAATAACAACAAACAAAAATATATAAAGGACAACACAGGGTCAAAGTTACGAAACAATTAGCCGGGGGAAAGCTGCAATTTTTTTTTAAAAAACTTGTTTTTGGCATCTTTATATTCAAAACTGGTGCGCACATGTGTGTTGGGGATAAACGCTTTGGAATAGGCTTGTACATTAGGGTGGTATCATTATAATTTTTTTAGTATTTATTTACAGGACTAGTTTGTATGTCAACTATATGTTATAATGAAGCGATCTGAACAGTTTTTTGGGTGATTGTAGCGTTGCCCTGGAAAATAATTTATACGAAAATTCATGAAGATATCTCTTTAAATTAAAAAGTTTTCCATATAAGAATATGATTTTGATCGTTCAGTTTATATGGCAGCTATATGCTACAGTGAACCAATGTGAATAATTTGTTTGGAGATTGTAGCATTATCTTGCAGAATGATTTGTACCAAATTTCATGTAGATATCTCTTCAATTAAAAAAGTTTTTCATACGAAGATTCTGCGCAAAATATTTTTTCTGACAATAAACGCACCACCCTAATGACAAGCCTACCCACACGTGACTCTAATATCCATACACGAGCTTGCGTAAGCGGCTGAGTACCTCGTACGTTCCTTTTTTTTAGATTTTTTTTTTGGTTTTTTTTTTTTTAAGTAACTGAACGCTGTGAGTGTCAAGCCTTAAATATCGCTGGCTTTCGTAATGCGTTTCGGCGCTAAGCGTGCAACAAGCGCTGCCACACTCAATTTATCTTTGTTGTTGGGGTTTTTACTTTTTGCCTTGTGCACACACTTAGTTTTTGACATTTCCCTGTCAAGCCAGACAGGCTGCAAGGTCATTCTTCCACCTATGCGATATTTCGAAGAAAAGTTGTCTTAATTTCGCTTATTTTCCGCTAATGAAATGCGCCCGTTATCATTTGCCATCGCATTATTATATAAGATATTCTCTGTGTAGCGGCGCGTCTTTCTGACAGGTTGGCTGACTGTTGTGACGTATTTAATTTGCTGCTAATTGCGAGAGTTAGAATGAGTGCGAAATGAATTTTGAATTTGAAGAAAATAATTGAAAATTAAAAAGCAAAAAATTTTTCTTAAGAGAAAATTATATATTAAAATAACAAAGAGAATTTTAAATTTGAAACTAAAAGTTCGGAAGTCGCATATTGAATTATGAAGTAAATTTTAAAACCGAAAATTTTTCGATTTCGAAATTTAAAATGAAAAATTTCAATAATGCGTTTCAAATGAAATGGCATTTGAAAAAAAAAAAATTTTATTAAATTTTTACTTAAAATCGAAATCTCAAACTAAGCTTATGCAGCTGTGCCATACCATTTCGGGGT